TTTTAAATTCTGAAACATATTAATTGTAAACATTCAAGCAATGCAGATATATAGAATAAAATTAAAGTATCTTATTGTTATTTTTGCATCCCCATCTCTGTTCTCATCTTCCCCATTCATTCACAAAGATTCTCCATGTATCCTTTCAGAGTTTTTCCTATATTTATATTTATAAATTATTAAAACAAAATGCCTCTGTATACACTGGTATTTATCATTTAACCATGTCTAATGAACAATTTCATGTCAGTACATATATAGAACTACCTCAATCACTTTACTAATGCATAGTATTCTTTACCAGATCAGAGTTTGACTGTTTCACTTTTGGTGAACATTTATTTTGCTTCTAATTTGTTACTGGAATAAATAATGCCAAAACATTCTTCTACATGCATTTTTGTGCACATGTATTAGTTTCCCAAGGCTAGGAACAAATTCTCATAAACCTGATGTCTTGTAAACAACAGAAGTTTACTTTCTCATAGTTCTGGAGCCCAGAAGTCTACAAGCAAGGTGCTGGCAGGGCTGCTTCTTTCTGGAACTCTGAGGGAGAATCCATTTCCTGCCTCTCTCTTAGCTTTCTGCCTGTCTTCTGTGTCTCAAATTTCTCTTTCCTTTTTCTTATAAGGACACGAGTTATTAATCTCAAGATCACCATGTTAACTACATCTGCAAAGACCCTTACTCCAAATAAAGTCATACTCTGAGGTTCTGGGTCAACATGTCCTTTGGTGCCATTTTTCAACCCACATGAGAATATGTCAAGACAGAATAAAAATTATATTGCTAAACTGCCCTTCCAAAGGTTATAGTAATTTTTACTTCCACCAAAAGAATATTAAAGTGTTTTTTCCTCAGCATTCTTGCTAACTTTTTAAAACTTTTTGCTAAATTGACATGTTAGGTGAAAAATAATGTAACATCATTGCTTCTATTACATCTCCCTGATTTCTAATAAGGTTATTTCTCTTTCTATGTATTTGTTGACTATCTGTACTTCCTTTGTGATTTACCTATTCATATATTTTGTCATTTTCTAAAGTAATATATCATATTCTTCTTAATCTTTAAGTATTCTTCAGTCTAGACAGACTTGTGGCAGGCAATATATACAATGTTAATATTTTGTCTATTATGTATCACAACAATTTCCTCCAAGTCTGTCACTTATCTTTTTATCTTCCATTACAAAACATTTAAGATATTTATTTAGTCAACTCTATCAAATTTTTCCTTTACGGTCTCTGGTTTTCATTTAACATTTTTACTGGGTTGGTTGGTCAAAAAGTTTGTTGGTTTTTTCTGTAAGATGGCTCTAGAAGCACTTAGTTGTCTTTAACTTCATTTGAAAAAACTGTTAAGATTACATTGTTACAGCTCTCACATGAGCATACATTAAAAAAAGTTATCAAAACTGGTGAATTTTTGTGTAGCCATTTTCATATTGAAGATGGAAGAAAATATGCAATATTTTTGGCATATTATGCTTTATTATTTCAAGAAAGGTAAAAAATGCAACTGAAATGCAAAAAAGAATTTATGCAGAGTATTGAGAAGTTACTGTGACTGAGCGAATGTGTCAAAAGTGGTTTGTGAAGTTTTGTGCTAGAGATTTCTCACTGGACAATGCTCCATGGTCAGGCAGACCCACTGAGGATAATATCGATCAAATAAAGACATTAATTGAGATCAACATTATACCATGTTTTTGGTAAAAATGAAAAACATGTCTTTTATTTTACAGAAAAAAATGAACAGACTTTTTAGCTAACCCAACAGATTTTTAAGATTTTATATGCTATCATAAAGTAGGACAATTACAGAGCTAGGAGGCACAGAAAGCATATCCCACTCAAGTCTACAAATGCCTTATGAATGAGAAAATATTGGGGGGGGGGAGCAGAGGATGCTCTAGGCTAAATGTGAAAACTCAGGAGGAACAGCAAAGTTGGAGAAGGTACTAGTGATTTAACAATCCATCAGCTGCTGATACGCAACACTGCTTGGGTACTGTGACAGAAGAGAAATGTGAGGCAAACACATTTTCGGTCCTCTAGAAGTTTACAGTTAGGATGTAAGCAAAAACATTTTAAGCAATAGATAAGCAGCAATAATTTTTCAAAAAATTAGCAATAGGCTTCAAACCAATGAAGTGCACGGAGATGATAGTACAATGTAGAAGAGAATTCTGATTGGTCTCAAAAGAGATGGTGAGTACCATCCCTAATTTAAAAAAATTTAAAAACTTTCACCAAAGTATAATAAACTTCAGAAAATCACACCTATGATAATTAAACAGCTCAATGAACTTTTATAAAGTACTGTAAACTCAGTTGTAAAACCAGCACTCAGCTCAGGAAAAAGTAAACAACAGCACCAAGAAGCCCCCTCCTAATTCCTTCTGGCTACTCTTCAAAAGCTGAGAATAGTTTTGCCTATTTTTGTGTTTTGTATAAATGGAGTAATATACTATGTACTTATTTCTCTTAAAACATGTTTGTGACATTCATTCAAATCTTATACGCAGTTGTAAAATTTTCTTTCCTTCTACTACACAGTATTCCATTATGTAAATATTCTAACACATCATTTATCAACTACACCAACATGAGGAGTTTGTATAGTCCCTACTTCTGTGCTCTTGTGAAAGGTACTGCAATAAACATTCTAGTATCTTATAATATTTTGGGTACATAGTATCTTTCGGCTCTGTGCCAGGGGAAGAACTGCTGGGTCATGGAATGTACATTATGTTCAGCTTTAGTAAATACTGCCAAATGGTAGTTATAAATAACAGTGATAAAGCTCCTTCAGCATTATTTGAGAGTTCCAGCTGTGCTACATTCTCATCAACACTTGTTTTTTCCCCCCAGCTTTTTTTCATTTTAGCCATTCTAGTGAGTATGTGGCAAACACAATTATTATGGATATTAGGAAAGTTCAAAGAGTCAGCAAATCTCTCACAACAAAAGATCAAATAATGGGAAAAGGAAGCAGCCATGGAAAAAACACATGGGTGTTAAAGTGTTATAAAAAACTCATTTCACTAATAAAATGGTAGGGGAAAGTAAACACATACTAAACACACAAAAACACAGCTCAATCACAGAGCCAGCAAACAGCTCTTAAAGGTGGAGGAAAAAATATAAGAAAAGACAAAAGTAGGAAGCATGGTGAACAAGTAGTTAATATTCTGGTAATTGTAACCTATAGTATGAGTTCTCTCACTAAAATATTACAGTCCATACTTTTCTATAGAAACAATGGCTACTTTATTTCAGGGGAATGACTATCAATAAAATACAACGTATATTTTGGCAAAAACTTACAGAATCGCTTTTCTATATAAAACAGTGTCAAATTTCCTATCTGTACCATGTGAGATATATTTAAGAAACAACAGTGTATAATTTGAACAGGGTGTACATTTTTAGTATAAAAACAAAAGTTAGAATCTTTAATACTACCTTCACTTCTGTCTAATATCCAAGTTAAAAAACAAAAACAAAAACAAAAACCCAGACTTCCACTTAGGCTAGTGAAAAAAGAAAAATCCTGGTACAAAAGGAAAATACAAACTGCCTCCATTTGCAGGTTACTAGAACCTCATGTCAACCATAAGCTCCTGGAGACTGAGGACCATATCTTGTAACTTATCAAAGCCCTTCTGCACACATTTAGCAGAGTACTCTTAGCAGAACATTCAATAAATCCTACTCGCCAACATATTAGAATCTGCAACTACTGAGCAATTTATCACATATGCTGCTTCATGTAGCTGGTGAAAAAAGATTAAATATTTATGTACTAGGTTCTGATAAACCTAGTTCAGATGATATATATTTATTCATTTATTTATTTTTAGAGAGACGGGAATGAAGGGAGGAGAGGCAGAGAAACATCAATGTGCAAGAGACACACTGATTGGTTGCCTCTTGCATGTCCCCAACTGGGGACCTGACAAAACAACCCAGGCATGCACACTGACTGGGAATCAAACCAGTGACCTTTGGTTCACAGACCAGCACTCAATCTACTGAGTCAAACCAGCCAGGGCAAACTGCTCATTTTTATCAAGAATTCACCCACAGGCACAGATTTTAAAAGTCATATGAAAACAAACACTAGGAATTTCAATTAGAACAAAGCAGAAAGCCACAAACAATGTCCAACAGCATCTGCTAATATATCAAAACTCTTTCTTACTAAATAAAGCTTTTGCAAAGTTCATCTAGGTGAGATTATATATGATTACTCCAAACAATGGACAACGCTGTTAATTTATAAATGCTGACCCTTAAAAGAGATATGTGGTGACCTCTGATAAAAACTGTGTGATTTCCTGGGAGCTTATTTAGCTTGATCTTTTCCAGGTTAGAATTTCTAATATTCGTAAGTTAAATCACTGTTAGGTATTTTACACTTAATAGAGTGAACAAAGTAGTTTATAAAACTTGTGTGTATTTAGTTATCAGGTAATTTCTAAATTTTGAGAATTTATTTAATTGATCAAAATCTGTAATGTTTTAAGAAGTATAAAAATGACTGAACTGTAAAGTAAGAGCTAAGAAATCATTAAACAAATGCTAATGAAACATTAGAGGGAAAATTACCAGAGGACTGAAACGAAACTTTTTGATGATGGAGAGGTTTTTACTGAAGACACACACACAAAAGAGCAAATGCGACTAAACTAATCAAACATAAATGAAATATAGGTAATTAATAATCAGTCATCAATGTGAAAGTGCACAACACAGGACGGTGTTACAATTGTGAATCTTTAATCCATGACAATTTGAAATTGTTCTCCCAAAAGATTAAAGATTAGACTTGTTATGTGAAATATCTGAACAAAATGGGAGTGTCGTATTACAAGAAAAACACAGATGAATAAAATATATTAATAGTTTATGAATAAATGCAAAGATAAATTAATCCAACAGGTTACACCAGGTACAACTAGTCACACTAAAAATAAAATGCAAAAAACTCACTCACTGTCTTCTGTGGGAAGGACCTGCAGGGAGTAAATCCACTCTATTATATCCTCTTTGTTCACCACATCTAAGGAATCCAACATATCCAGCCCAGAGAGTGCAAAAAATGCAATTGTCAACCTAAAAGAAAAAAAAAAAACACCCAAAAAACGTAAGATTCCATCTTTACTATCAAACCACTGAAGACTTTCTAATTCAGAGTAATAATAAACTCATTCCAATTCTCCAATTACTTTAAACAAAACTCCCATTTTGCAAAAGCCAAAAAACAAATATACTCTTATAATTAAGTGGTAACAATCAAACCTTTGTTTCAATTTTTTAAAAAGGGATATTTTGGAGTTAAGAAACCAGTCCTACTCATCTGACTTTATTGAAGCCTGTATATTAGTGGCTTGAAGGCTAAGAGTAGATTTTAAAAAGAGAATTTCCTATACTTGTTCAGTACTAATAAAGTCAAAAGCCTGGAAAAATATATAGAAATCTCAATTTTCACTAATTTGGTAAAAGTAATTATGCTTATACCTGCTGCTTAATTCTTAAGGAATGTCAGAATAAATCCATTTTTATTTAAATTTGTTAACAAAAAACATGACCTCTTAGAAAAAAACTTATAATGAATTTTAGAAAGGAACAACTTAAAAAATACAAATGCATTTCAACTCAATTCTCCCAAAGAGGATCATTCTTTGATGGAATGAAAAATGGTAAGACAACATTCATTCCCCCCTCCAAGACTGCACTAAATCAGAAATCTAAACATGCTTTCATACAAAAACTAGTACCTCAGTGACTGCTTTTCACATAAGGAGCCTGTTATGTATAGTTCCCTTCGTGCTGAGATCTATTACAGAACGTTGTTTAGTTGAGCATGGTTATCCCATTTCCATATTCTAGTAATTCCTACGACTAATATGGATAAATAAATACTTCAAATTGTCTGGTCTAAAATCTTACAGCAGAGCCAGTTGAGGCAATCTTTAACTTTCTAACAGATTCTAAAAGAGGATTAAGACTTAAAAGCCCTAAGGCAGCGGTCCTAAGGCACTGTGGACACTCGAAAACATTCTAAAGACATTTTTGGTTGTCACAAATAGGGAAGGTTGTGTAATCTAGTTGGTAAAGGCCAGGGATGCTACTAAATGTCCTATGATGCACAGGTCAACCCCATTAAGTAAAGAGGTATCTGGTCCAAAATGTTAAGTGCTTAAGTTGAGAAACCATCCTTTAAAGTCATATTATCTGTTTGTAAGTGTTATTTAATGATCTGCTTTTTATTTTACTTGCTCCTGGGTATGAAGGCAAATACCAGAAATCAGTCATCTGATGAAACACTATTTAAAATTTTTGCATATTTAATTATTAAAGACTTCTAAAAGTCTAGCATTTTCAACTCATAGTGTTACAGAAACAAAACCCCTGCCCCTGGGGGTCTTGTTACTGTGTGGTTCTTCTTTGCCCGCCGCCAAAATGAACTGTGCCACTCAATGCCAGAGCTTGGTAAAAAGCAACTACTTATTCAAAAGTTATACAGGTTTAGAGTAATGGCAGAATATCGCCGTTAAATTGAGAAGTCCCTTTAAAACACCCGCAAACACACACAGTCCTGCCTCCCCTTGCCAAACCAGGCCAGTCAGGGGTACCGTATCTCAGGAAAAGAAAGTAGAAGTCCCTAGCTCGGTTAGGCTCCCATTCTTAATCCAAAACCGCGTCCTTGAGGCAAGCCAGGGAATCTTCCTGCATCCTTTCAAACATTAATAAAGAGGGTTCCACATGGCTGCTACATCTTGCCTTCCTGCTTCCTAAGCCATGAGGTCAAGAGAGCCCCCTCTTGGCTTCCCAAACCCAAGTGGTCAAGTGCCTGCTTGGCTGCCACACCTAGGTTTAAATCCTGGTGCAGATCTTCCTCTATAACCCTATTTCCGAATCCTCCCACAACTGGCTACACCTGCTAGCATTTCCCTATTCTCCGCCTTTCTTGGCTGCCATAGGTAGCCTGGGCAGGCGTGTACCCACAGGATGGAGCAAACCATCTCCAAGCTCTCGCACAGGCTCTGCAGTCCATGGAGCTGCCTCCTAGTAACATCATGGGTCAAAGTCAAGCCCATCTTCCTGGCTCTATGCAAGCTAGAAGGCTAGCCTGTGGTTATTGATATGTAAAATAACTCTCAATCCCTGTGCTGCTGCTTTTGGGGGGCCTCTCAGCCTATGCCCCATTAAGCCTATGCCTGTTAAACCTACACCCCGTTTCAACAGCAGTTGAAACTTAGGTTTATAAGATTAACACAGCTACAGAGCAAAGCTTACGTTTATAAAGTGAAGAGCTCATCAGTGGCTGGCAGATAGGATCAAGAAGTCATTTGGGGACTACCCTAAGGTAGGTTAGGAAAGTATTCATTTTCTGACCACACTAGAGTTCTCGAGTAATCCTAAAACTCTGAGAGGAAGAAAATTAAACAGGTCCCAGGAAATAGGGAGGCACTTGGGGCTATGGGCCTCTAAGAGAAATAATGTGGGATTTTATGGTGTCCTGATGACTGCTACTTGGGATATAGATTGCTGTGCAACCTGCCCTAGTACAGGTATATGGAAGGGTTATTTTGTCATGCATGTACCTAATATCAGGCCAGAGAGGTTATTCTTATTCTTATTTTTCCCTTGGAGACCATCTGCCTGTTCTCTTCCTTTCTTCTTTCCCTTAGAATTGAACTCTTTGTAGTCTGAAAAACCAAAGCAAGCCAAGTCTTCCTGCCTCTTCTACTCTGAACAATACATATAAAAAGTGTGGTATCTCATGGATGAAAAAGCAACATTTTCTGTCCCTACATCAAGTTGCTTCACCAGCGGATCACAAATGTTGTCTCCAAAAGATCTCAAAATGTTCAGGCTTAAGAACAAATTGTTTGGGAAGAGGGGCAGAAGCACACACACACAAAAAAAAACACAAAGATTAAACAGAACCAAAAAACTTCTTTTTTTAAAAAAGGAAAAACAGTCTGGGCTAACTGAAAAAAAGAATTTAGCCTCACTAATATGATTTTCCTATGCCACTAAGCAAATAGTATATTGTCATACTAGAGCAGGTGCGTGAACATTTGGGAGTACACTGGAATGCTGATTTATGGGAGGTGACTAGATTCCCAAACTTTGGATCACTTGCTCTGCCCCTTTCTAATACAATCTCTTTAATGCTATCTCCAAGTGTCTTTAAGAGTGGGCTACATCCCTGCCTAGACCTTAGGCAAGGCTATAGCTAAATTACATTGCAAAGACTTCTAAAATTATAAACAAGTAGCTACATTTAAAAAAATAGGAACAAAGATGCTCAATAAAATTAACAGTGGAAATGAAGAGCCTTCAAGGACACATTAGAATTAATCATTGAGTTAAAATACATAGAAGATAGAGGCCCACATAAATAACATGGAATGGCTGATAAACAACTGAATGAATTCTAGAATTTTAAGCCTTATTCTTCATCTGTGGCATTTTTAAATAGCTGACTCATCTGATAAATATTTTTAAGTACAGTCTTTTTTTGGAGCTATTTAACATGCAAAGTAATTTTTCAATAAAAAATATTTACTGACTATATACTACAGATTAGATTTTGTGATAAAAATGAATAAAACAAGCCTCCTAACCTTAAGCAGGTTAAGTTATGGGAGGAAAAAACTAAGCAGCTGCATGATAAGAACTATTATAGTCCTATTCTTCTTCCTTTCTAAACCTGCTCCTTTCAACTCTTTCTCTAGACTTAATGGTAGTTTTAATCCTTTAATACTGGGACTCCTCCTTTTTCCTTCATTCCTCCTTTTATACCTACTTCCACTGCCCCAGGACCTGGCTTCTGGACACTGCAAAGGCTTCCTTAATTGGTCTCCTGGTTCCGGTCTTGCCTCACTTAATACAACAACCAATCTCAAATCCAATGTTTACTTTGAAATGCATATCTAACCAGGAAGATCCAGTGATTGGCTACTTCCCATCACTTACATGATAATAAATTCAAGCTTCCTGAAGTGGCACACAAAACCCTCCGTAATCTGGCCCAAGTCTACCTCTCCAGACTAACTTCCTACCAAGCCCACTTTACATTGTGAACAACTATTAGAGAACTGATTGAGGTTTCTCTGCTCAGCACTCATCTGTCTTTATTGTCCTATTTGTCTATTTGCCTATAATCCACCAACAAACATACATACAGCAAACCGACCCCCTTCCCCAACATATTTTAATATTTAGCTCCAGGGATACTTCTAAGAAGCTTGGAAACACTGGGTGAGCTATGTAGGGGCTTCCACAATGCCCCATGAATACAATTACTGTGCAAACAAATTAAAACTGTGGTGAGGTGATCTGCAGCATCAGTTATCACTGAAGAGCTTGTCAGAACTGCAGTATCTCATAACCCACCCAGACCCATGCAATCAGAACCTACACTGTCAGATTCCAGGTGATTCATATGCACATTAGAGCTGGGCAGCACCACTGTAACCTGTGTATTTGTTTCTTCTATCAGGCAAACAATTTGTCTTTAGTGCACACCAGAACCACCTGGGATGCTTGCAATAATTTAGACTCCCAGGTCCACACAATGTCCAATGCAAATCTGAGGACAGGCCCAAGTACCTGCATTTTTTTTTAAGTACCCTGATAGCACTGATTAAGAGCCTCCCACCATCACCATACTTTGAGGGATACACTGCTAGACTGTGATACTCTTCAGGTAAGGGAGGAAATGAAAAAGACAGAAAAGCTTCAAGATGCTTGGCAGCCACAGTTGCAACACAGGATACACAGGGGAATATGGAAAGACTCAGAGGCAGAAAGATAACATAGATTGTGAATGTCTTGTAAAATAAAAACTATCTAAACCCTTCTCCTAGAACAGCTGAATCTGTAAAACTAACATAATAGAAAATGCTCGGTATTTTGCTCCTCAATTAATAATAATAATAAAAAAAGCCTACTCTGATTCCTCTTAACTAAATACAAATGACAACAATAACACATAGTGGGGGAAAAAACCTCTCTAAACCACCCACAACAAACTTGTTAATTGACAAAGCTCACAACCCAAGGTTTAATATTTCCTTGAGGTAACTAGTAACTACCACTTTTCAAAGCTAATAAAGAAAAACCTCAAGTGAAACAACAGGCAACACACACTTGAATTTTCAGAAAGCCACTGTTAGAAAAGTAAAAATTATTCCTATTTGTCAGACTAAAGGAAACAGGGAAATGAAATAATTTTGCCAAAATGGTGGATCAGAAAATAAGTACCTAAATGTCTAGGTCCAATATTAGCCTTCTTAAGAATCAACTGTTTCATATCTATCAGTAAAAAGGAATGAATACAGAACACCTGAATCACTGGTTCAATACCATATCCCCATACCCAGGCACAGAGCAGGCACTCAATAAATGACTGTGGAATTGAACTGCAGTACTGGGTAAGAACTGTGTCTTTGTCAACCCACTGTTTTATCATAAAACTCTAGTATTAGTAGAAATTTTGTGACCAATCACCTTAGCTTAAAGGGTTGGAGCTTCCTCACAAGTATTTTAAAGTCAGTTATGAATCACATACACCACAAGAGAACTTTATGCTAAACTAAGGAAAATAAAGACTGTAAATCAGGACACTGAAACTCTGACTTTAAAAAATCAGTACAAAAACTGATATGTACAGATTATCTTAAATGTGCTATTAATTGAGCCATAAGAAACCAAAAATGATTTTAAAAAGCTCTACTCAAGTGACAAATATGAGGCATAAAAAAGACATGATATCTCTTCACTAATGTAAAGTAACACGATATATCTATTATTTAATATATAATGCCTGGCAGCGATCCTAAAATTATAGTACTGTTATTAAGTCAATTATTATATTAGTTCAAACAATTTTGCTGTTTTACTTATGCTGTGACCAGGTCTACACAGTTTACTGCCAACATGCATTAGTCTATATGGTTTTTGTCCGTGCTGAAATTTTAAAGAATAGACCAAACACATCTGCATTTTGAAAATGCAACCACAGACCTATAATAGCTACAAGCAAAGATCAACAATCACAATAGGAAGATTTTTTAAATCCAAATGCTGTGAATTCACATAAAATTAATCCCAATAAAATATAAATGTGATTTATTAAAATATTTCTTAACATCCTACATCATACAATTCTGGAACTCTTTTTCTTAAATTTATTGAGGTAATATTGCTTAATGACATTATATAAATGGAAATCTTAAGTCGAGGCATGGACTGTGCTAGTCAATCAATACCTATGGACAGAGAAACGCATATAAATAATGCTTTACTCTTTTCTTTAAAACAGGAATTTTTTTTATCTTTCAGCGTTCAGATCACATTATTCAACAAATATTTACTTAATATGCTAAATTCTGTTTAATGTCCCAGTACAATGCTGTCCAATAGGACTTTCCGAGATGACAGAAATATTGAAATATTAAAAAAAAGCCACTGATCAATGTGGTAACAGAGCAGTTGTACTGCGGTGGCTACTGCAAATATAACTGAATTTTTAATTTAATTAATTTTAATTTAAATAGCCAATTGTGGCTAGTGGCTACTGTACTGGACAGGGCAACCCTAGTGTTACAAAAATAAACAAGATAAACAAAGACCCTGTAAACTTCATTAAGTTTACAATTCAGTGTGGGAAAAAAGACATTAAGAAGTAAACCAATAAATATATAATTTCAGTGTCTTTTGCAAAGGGTGATTAGAAACGGCATCTCTAAAGAAATCAAGATTAGGTACCTGCCCTTCCTATATGCTCCCATTAACCCTATACTAACATAGCATAGAACTCTATTGAAACTGCTTGTCTTGGTCAGCTGTACTCCAGCACCTAAGATAATAAATATTTCTTGAACAAGTATGCAGAAGGAATCTATAAAACCTCCAAAACACACCCAGTCTCAGTGTTCAAAATACACCAGAGACTACGAGTTCGAAAAACGTGGAGAGATATTAGAGCTAAAAACAATCTGCTCTTTCTTCCCACCCAGTCCCATGCAGCTTTTGGAGCCTCACTTTAAAACACAGCAATGCAGAGGTCGCCTCCTCCTTTGGTTCTGCTCATCCCCAGACTTTTACTCTAATTCATAGTTTCTTAGCTTCTGCCAGATCACACTCCTCAGCCACCTCCAACTTACAAGGCTATTGCAAGTATACTTTACCAGGCTGCTTCACGCAACTTTGCACCTCCTTTGCCAATCTTCTTCTATAGATTTATAGTTCCTGGAAAGTTAATTTCTATTCAAACCCTAGAGGATCTCTTCTGCTCCTACACATTAAACACACTACAATTAATTTCAGTCGCCCAGGTACGAGTTAATGAACCCAATGGACAGTAACGGAAGAAAACATACTTTCAGTGATAAGCACGCAATACGTATGCAGATACCGAATTATTTTGTACATGTGATACCTGTATCATGTTATTAACCAATATTACCAATTAAATAAAAGGGGGGGGTCAATGAATTAGAAAAGGAAACACAGGAGACGCTGTTTATTTAAAATACGATAACAAACGCTTTTTTTTCCTTTTATTCTCGAAAGTAATGAGGCCGGAAAGACGAAGTAAAGAGGGAGCTCAAAGTTGACATGAAAAATGTTAAGTGAAAAAGGCGGAAACTGGTTATTCCAAAAGCCCTAGACTTACAGCTCCCACACCCTCTCGCCGTAGCTCAGAGGAAAGTGAGTGACCGACCACAGGCCCAGGGGAGAGCGGAGGCACCCAGCAGTACCAGGTGGGCGGCGGCGCAGACCCTTGCGGACGCCTAGTTAGCCGTCGGGCTCCAGGGCTCCTTTCCGCTGAGGCCCGCGGTCTCGGGCCGGACCTATTAACTGTGGTCACCAGTTACCTGCTCGTCTCAAGCGACGAATAGCGCTCCGGCAAAACCTGGAGGCAGCGCTGGAAGAACCGCACGTGCCGATCCCGCAGGAAATCCAGCCGCTCTCCTTCACAGTCCCCAACCTGCCGCTCGTCCTCCGTGGTCGCCATACTGCTACGGAAGCGACGCCTAGCCGTGACCCGGAAGGAATTGGCGAGCGGCACTAAGGAACCCCTAGAGGTGAATTGGGTGAAATGACTGTACACAGTCCGCGAGAAGTCGCACGTAGCACTCTACCGCGCGGATTTTTTCTTAGGCAACGCACGACCCAAACTTTTATACTCTTTCGGTATTTGAGAGGAAGCACAATGTCAATAGTTTTAGATCAAGGCCCTAAAGAAAGTGAGGATATGGTATATATAAAAGCAGGAATGACTCGGTATCAATTTTCCAACACTCACTTTGGGCAGGCCACGGTTTTAACCTGAATGGATACGGAAACTAAACCTACAAATCAAGCTATGGGGATAAATGTTTATTAAATAATTATTGACATTATAAAAATTGAGTCGTTCCCAGTCCTCTCTGGAGTATCAGAAATCACTTTAAAATGTATCCAAGTGCACTACATACATATATTCGCACGTGTGACTTCTATCAGTTTTCTTTTACGACTTTAAGATTGCACTCTTGAGTGAATGTTTTGACTCCAGCATCACAGTTTTTAGCAATTTCCAACAGCAAGCTCCACATGTTCTCCAACTGCGCATAGACTAAAAAAAAAAAGAAAAAAAAATAACATGTTTCTAGCTATTTTTTCAAAAAGAGCGATGTAAGTTACTTCAGCCATGTTTCCTATCAAACTTCAAAAGGAAACCTTGAGGGGGAAAAAAATCCACCCAAGGATCAGGCCTAAACTAGTTGTTTTGTTTTGTTTTCTTTTAAATAATCAATCGAACTAATAGAAGTCTGGGTATACTTTTCATTAATAGCTTTGTTAGAAAATGTATTTCTTAAAAAATGTACCATGTGGACTGTAGTTATACTTACTCAACAATCCAAAGTGCCTTATATAACTTTAGGTACTACTTATTTTATTCACAGTTTTTCCTGTGTATGTCTTAACAAATACTGCATTATCAAATGGCTGGGTATAAGCAGAGGGCTGTTGTCGGTGCTTCCTTACAAGTATGGAGGCCATAATCCTTGCCCTTCAGGTATGCCCAATCTAGAGTTGTTTTCAATACATTATTAAAATTAAGATCTCTTTCACTCACACACGTGCGTGCGCACGCACACAAGCAAATGTCTGAGGATGTTCAAAATAGAGTCATATCACATGCATTTAACTTACTATATATAAATAGAATCAATTATGCACACTCTACATGTGCTTGGAAAGACAATCCCATTCAACTTGGCCCTTAAAGGGAAGCCAAATATCATCTGATTCTCACCTCAAGAACCAGCAATCTGATCCAAATCTGGAGGAAATATTTCTACAGTGGATTCATTGAGAAATAATATAATACCCTCCTATGTAAATAAAAGGCTTTTCATGGGTGACTTTGATAATACAAGGTTTTTGACATGTGTATGACAGAATCTAACTCCTACAATAAATGCTACTCTGCATTATTAGCTAAGAAGTGTAAATAGCTCAAGTCTTCAAAGTATGGGAATGAAAGAGCACCCATTTAATGGAATCTTATTTAGACATTAAGTGATAGTTTGAATTATACATAAAGATAGGAAAATGTGTAACATAATGTTAACTGCCTACAGTATAATGACTAAAATGTACTCTATTACTGTAGCTATTTAAAAATACAGCCATACCTCAGTACTCATCAGCTTCAGAACTCATCAAACCCTGTACTCGTCCCATTTAGATGAGAAAAAAGTTTCAGCACTTGGCACTTGCTTGGGGCTCACTGCACTTGCTAGAATTTGTATGAGCCACAACGCTGCCCAGTAAGAGAAAATGCTTCATCACTCATTGCTTGCTCAGTACTCATTACAAGTTACAAATGAATTAACCACACTGTATGTAGGTATACTCTTGGAAAAGTTATTGTGAAGTGGTAGAATTATAGGTGCTTTATAATATTTTTACTGTTTTTCTACATGTCTTAATATACTTTTAAAACCAGTATAAGAAATGTTTAACATCTATGAGCTTGCAACTGAAGACATTTATGTTTATTCTACATAGTCTATAGAAAGCATCCATGTAACAAATATCTCATTTTAGATTCTATTAGGACGGTTCTCTTCAAACAAACTTCCATACCTTTTATTAAAAAACGAAATAAAAATAAACAAAAAAACCCCGTAAGAATCACATTTGCCCAGTATGCTTACCTTAGATGCACAAAACTGAAAGCTGCATTTGTGTGCAAAACAAAGCAACACATTAGTAAGCAACACATAAAAACCTGTATTTTTCTGTATATTCTGGTTGTTCAATTCTGTTTTTAAATTCCCTTGTCCTGTTCTATTTTATTTCTAAGCTGCCTCAAATCATTTTAAAAAGTCATGGAAAATGAGTACTATAAAATAGGCATTCCTGATTAAGGATATCTTAAATTAATTCTATTTTGCACCAATAACTATAACTAGAATTCAGTTTCCTTTGGAAGTTATATCTACTTTGGATAGTAAGTGTAAAATAAGAAAAGGTTTTGACCACTACTCATTGTAAATTTCTGAGTCATTTGACTTAAATATATCAAGTTATAATAAAAGATACTCTTAAAAGTCATAAAAAATGTTTCCTAATAAGTTTATTATTCATATAAGTTTCCTATAAGATGAGAACTAATTAAATTTAGTAGCTAAGATTTTATAATATGAAAAGCTGAGTTAAATTGTTATATTATATTGTCATGTACAAGAGTTTGGAAATTTTAAAATTAACTCTTTTGACCAAATATATTGAGGCAAACAGAAGCAGAAAACTGAATCAGCCAGGAAGATGTGGAAGACACAAAGATTTTATAAATGTGTAAAGTCCAGAAAGGCAGGAGGGAAATTTGGAAAAGCTAAAGGAAACCCAAAGATTTTTATCAATGATACGAATAACAGAGTAGATGTGAGATGTGACGTATGCGGCATATTTTAAAAATTAATATTTTTTATATAAAACAAAGCATGCTTCAAACAAATACAAAATATTTATTACACAAAAATTTAGTAACTGACAAACTACCACTTTGTTAAACTTAGAAAAAGTACTAACATTTCAAAACTCAAACAAATAAAAAAAACCTTACATTTTTGTTACTCAAGGTTACCTCCAAAATATAAATGTTACAAAATTTTGGTTTAAAAAATGTCACTCTGTGATTGTCCCAGTTTATTTTGCTGTGCGATGACAAAAACAAAATACCTTTGAAATGTTCTGAGTATTTTAAATGAAATACTGTTTGTAACATAAACTCATTCAAAAAACGTTTACATCAATAATAGGCCAACATACACATTAAATGCCCTCTTAGTATAAACAGGAAATACTAATGACAATACCACTTGGAATTTAATGACTGTCAATTTACAATAATCAGTCTGTCTGGGCTAGTGATATTTAAAAAACACGGTTAGCACTCTGTCCTGTTATAGCAGAATATGCTAACATTCTCATCAACTGAACACCAATTTCATTATCTCATATTCTTTTCTAAACTCCTTGTCTCCAGGTTGGAATAGCCCTAAGGAGAAGAAGAGAAGAGAAATTATAAATACATGGAAAAAATTTTTTTAAAATCCTAACTGATTAAACGTTAACTTTTATTTTATCTTTTTATTAAGCAAGTTTTTTATTCAGGTACAGAAAAAGAAAGAGGCCAGGGTACGGGCATTGCTGTGAAAGAAGCAAAAAGTATGCATCCGAGTAGATGTGGGCCACCTACTGAGTGAGTTGTGCTGAATAAATGTTAACTTTTAAAAACGTATATAGATTTGTTTTATTAACTTTTTCCTATAAACTATAATATACATACAGAAATTGCATAACATATAAGCATGCAGTTATTACATGCTTATATTATGAAGTGAACACCCATTCTAATTCCTTTTTACCTGTGTGGGATATGTAGAAGTGGCCCAGAGCCTGTTGGTCCTATCTTTTTAGTCCGTTCTTCCCAACCTTTGGTAGGTTTGTAAAGCCTAGAGGGATCTCTGCTAACATTGTTTTCAACCTGTAATGAACAGTAAAATGAATGCCAGTTAATTTATCTGAAATATTGTTTGTACTTTTGAGTACGATCCATAGAAAGGATCTTACTAAGACATCAACGTTAAGAAATGTATTTAATATTAACTAAAAAATAAAATCGTTAATAACCTCTTCAGCAAACTTTTATTTGTGCTCATATAACTAAAATAAAATCTGGATTACATCAATCTATTAATAAACTGTTACTTTTGTATAATTTTTCTAGTTCAATTATTTATTCTATATCTATTATGACAGAAATATAATACAGCAAAGTGTGATAACCAGTGGCATAACCAGACAATAAATTTAGGATAAATAACGACTAGTAAGTTCTTTGTTTTATCCATGAGCATCACCAACATCTTTAGCTCTGAGTATCACCACTGAAATTAAGCAATGCTCATAGCTGACATTGGTCTAAATAGAGGCTTATACAGAAACAATGAAGAACAGAATAGAAAGAGAGGATTAATTTAGGATAAAAGAAAATGAGAGCTTATAGTATGAAATGGTAGAATTAAAAAAATAGTTGCTTAAATTGTACTACTCTATAGTTATGTAAATAAGTATAAATTTTAAAGATGATATAGAAATAAAGCTGAATATAAAGAAAATGGATGTTTTTCTCCTTACAAATCAAGGAATTAGGATAACAACAATAAAAATAAATTAATCTCAATACAGAGTACCTTTTCTTTTAATTTTGCCAGTCTTCTTTGTTTTTCTGCCTGTTCATCTTCCTTTGTCTGTCTATCAAGAATTTTCAATTCAAGCTTATGTAAATCCTAAAAATCATATACCAACAAAAAAAGACAATATTAGGGAAATAAAAGCCCTGGCTGGTGTGGCTCAGCAGGTTGGGCATTATCCTGCAAACTGAGGTCACAGGTTCGATTCCCAGTTGGGGCACATGCCTGGGTTTCAGGCCAGGTCCCGGGTTAGGGTCCTGCGATAGGCAATGGATCAATGTTTCCCTCCCTTCTCTCTCTAAAAATAAATACATAAAATCTTTAAAAAAAGAAAAGAAAAGAACTAGAATTTGTTTCAAAGTTTAGTTGCTTGGAAGTAAAATTAAATCACCTTAAATATTAACATTCCTTCAATATTGACCTTTTCCAACAGGAATAAAGCATTACTTTCTTTGAATATAAATATAATACACACATATCCTTTTGGAATCACTTTCTTTTTGATGTCTCTTACTTTATGGCTCAATCTAAAACTCCTTTTAATAGGAGAATTAAATGTACTTTTCACTTATCAATACAGATATGTCTGGTTTTTAGATCTCTCATATTTTTTGTTTCACAGATTTTCTTTTTTCCACATCTTTTATTATGTGGCCTGCTTGCTTTTTATGGGGAAAGAGGTATTTTGTTATTTAGGGAGTTTTTTTTAATAGACTAAAAGAAATCCCACTAATAATGTTTCTATTTTTTGTACTATCCTTGTGTTTTGCTTTACGAGTATTGTTGCTATGTATTTTGATGCATATAACATTTTATAACAGTTATATTTATAATAGCTATGTTTCATTTCTACCTTTTTTCATTTTAAAGTAAACTTCGTTGTCTTTTCAATACTCTTTGGACTGAATTCCACTTTTGTCTGATAAAATTATAATCTCTTTGTCTGATTAGCATTTTTCTTGTATATATATGTTTACAATCACTTATGATGCCACCCCTCAGCAATAACCTTGTTTCCTTTAAGTATGTATTGAGTACCTGCAAATGTACAGTGTACAGGAATGAATAAAAGGACAAAACCCCTGCCTTTGTGGAGCTTCTATTATGGTGGAAGATAGCAAACAAATAAGGAAATCGCCTGTGGGGAAAAGCACCGCAGAGTTTGGCAAAGCCCCCCAGTTTGGCAAAGAAAATACATCCATGACCTGGCCTTGGCTACCTTTCCAGCCTTGTCTCCTGCTTGTTCCCATCTTCCACTTGATGCCTTCAGAACTGGCTTCCCCCACAAACCACTGTTAGACTCCTTTCTTCTCCTTCAAGACTCAACTCAAGTATCACTTCTCTCTAATACTAATAGCTATGGTAAGCTTCCCTCCCTGCATATCCACCTTCTAAAATTCCCTGTCCACAACTCAATCACCATACTATTTACCACATTATATAGAAATCTACTTGCACATCTATCTTTCCCACTAGACTATAATCTACTTGAAATGAGGGAGCATGGCTTATTCATTTTGGTAGGTTCCAGCCTAACATATAAGAAGTACTCAATTTTTCCTGAACTGAATCTAGAAACAATACCTCTATATGCAGCATTGCAAATTGTTTAGGAAACAAATTTACTCACTCTTTCTTGAAATCTGGAAATTTCATCAGCAGCAATTTTCCTTTTTTCTGCTTTTTCTGTTTTTTCTCTTTTCTCCTTTTCAAGTCTTAAAAATTCTTCCTGTTCTTTCTTCTGCTGGGTGTAATTTTCTAGTAGTAATTTTAGTTTAAACTGGCGCTGACGCTCTTTCTGCTGCCTTTTCTCTTTCTCTTCCTCTTCTTTTAACTGGGAAGCATATTTCATTGACATTTCTATACTTTTTTGTTTTTTCCAAGCTTCCACCGCCAGTTTCTTCTTTCTTTGTTCTTCTTTTTGCTTTTGATTACCTTCTTGTTTGTTATGAAAAAGCACAGGTATGTTCTCTGCCTTTTCCTTTAACTTGAAAATTTGCTCTTTTTTTTGCTGTTTTTTAGCTTTCCAATTCTGAATAGACTAATTAAGAAAACAGAGCAAAAATATTCTTAATAACAGCACTTTAAAATACAATCTCAAGTCCATCTTTCTAGAAAGAATATTGATTGAAGGATCTATAGTCTTAGATTTCCAAGTGCTTTTTGTTGTTGTTTTTAACCAGTTTAATTTTTCTACTTGTTTTAAAAAATTAATGTGTGTCTTAAAACACTGAATAATTATTAATTCTTTTGCCCTTCCTTGTCCTCTCTTAATCACCAGGTACATAAGGACTGCACCTCATTTGTTTGTGTTCATAGGAAACACCCTTTTCCTCTGATCACCTCACTCATGCTTCCAAATCCTCCTAAGCTTAGAATCCTTTCTGAGTGACCCTTCTTAGTTCAACTATCAGAAGAGGAATTAAAAGTGGCATGGTCGAGAGCATGGGCTCTGAAGCCAGGATGCTCAGGACCAAATCACGGCTTTGCCATTTACTAGATGTGACCTTGGATGAGTCACTGAGGTAGTCTGTCTTCATTTTGCTCCAAAATCTGTGAAAGTGCCACTTTTTTTTTGAGCGGTAGGTAGTACCGCTCAAACAGGGATATTGTGAAGATTAAATGAATCAGTGCCTGGCATGTAGTACTTTGTAAGTGAAAAACAAAAACAAAAACAACAAATTAGCTTAAATTACATAGGGTATGTGAGGATTATTTAAAATCCTAGCAGCCTTCTCTATGCCATAAAGGAGACATTCACTAAACTTCTTTGTTTTCAAGTCAGGAAACTGTTCCCTCATCCTTCATGGTGTATCATTCATTCACTCAATTAATCCTAATTGCATATGTACTCTATACAAGGCAATGTGATAGGAATCATACATAATTAAAGTAATACCAAATGCCATCTAGTACAGTGCTTGCCACTCAATGTGCCAGTCCACAGCAATATCAGGGAAAATTCAGGCCATGTCTATAAACAAGTATCTTTATTTACGCAAATGAAGATAAAAATGGTAAATCTCCTACTTGGTATCTTAAACTGAGTAGATTTAAAACTATATTTCTGATACTTTCCTTCAAATTTCCTTCTCCTCCAACATGCCCTACTTCAGTAAGTGGCACCTCCGTTTTCAGAGCCCCTCCTACCTCACCCCTACGTTCAATCACCAAATATCAGAAAGCAGTGGTTGGGAACAAGAGTAAGCTAGACTCAAGGTGCTTTACTTTTATTACATGAGGCACCGTGTCTGTTCTTTTTCCTTAGAGAGTTTTTTCTCAAACTTTAGCCTTTAACAGAATAACCTAGAGGACTTGTTAAAACACTGATTCCTTGGCCCCATCCCCAGAGTTTGGATTACATCTATGGCTGGGGCTTGGTAAGTTCTAACAAGTTCCCAGGTGATGCTGATTTTGCTAGTTCATGGACCACTTTGCTGGTCCAGGGACCCCATGTTTTTAGTATCCAGGAAAAAAGCACAAATAATTCCTAATAGCTTGTTATTTTGAGTTTTTAAAGTCCCAAATTTCAATCTGCCTACATTTAACTGATTTAGGATAGATAAAACAATAAACCCCAGCTATTTTCTCTAAAAAATTAGACTACACATGGAATCAATATTTCTTTAATGCTCCCTAGGTATGTGATCTGTTGAATAGTCATACTTTTGTTGTTACATCAAATGAGTTGAGGTTTATAATAGCTGAAGTCTACAAAAAAGTGTGACTCAGACTTCCAAGTATCTAAACCCATGGTTCTCAATGAGGGGCAATTTTTGCCCTCTAGGGACATTTGGCAATGTCTGGAGACATTTTTGATAATCACAACTAAGGGGGTGTTACTAGCATCTAAAGGATGGAAGTCCAGGAATGTTGCCAATCATCCTACAAGGCACATGTCAGTGGTCACAGCAAAGAATTACCTAGCCCAAAGAGTCAACTGTGCCGAGGTTGGGAAGTCCTAACTAAACTAAAGCCAGAAGAATATTTTTGTGAAAATGGAACTTTTTAGAGATTTGCTTCTTTTCTCTAGGGTAGTCAAAATTTTGAGTCTTTTCAAATAAGCAACGAGGCTGAAGTTCTAAACCTCAAAGAAACTTTTAAGAGTCAAAGAACTTTTTCTACTGCCTCTGTATTTTTCATTGAAAACCATGCGGCCTTTGCTGATAAGATGCCTTTATCCAAAGCCTGAGCAGATCTGGATTCCCCACATTTCTGGTGGACATACAGGGCTTTGCCCACAATCAGAAGTTTTCTGGCCCACTGTACTATTTTTGGGGGTAGAAATGTTTAGCTTTGAGAAAGTCAAACCATAGTTCCATTAATTAAGTAAACTTACTTAACTTCTCAATGCCTGTTTCACCTTCTATAAGATGGGGGAGGGGGGATTAGAAGCCGCAGTATGCCTCATAGACTTGTCAAGTTCATAAACATTAAAAAATTCAGCACAGTACATAGAACACAGAAATATACAACAAACATTGGCTTTCATAATTATTATTACCTCTTTCTTCCTTTCCTCTAGGGCCAGAAATTTCTGATACCATTTCTCATGCTGTTGAACTTCATCCTGTGATCTTCCAGGAAGGTGTTCTAGAACTTCTCCCATAAATGTTGGCTTCCCTTTATGTTTGTTTCTCACTTTTACAAAGTTCTGATGATCAAAATCATCCCAGCCCCCTTGTCGCCCCCCTGTTTGCTGAAGGAATTTTTCAAAATCTACCACTTCTTCTGGAAGAGTACTTGGTGTTATTTTGTCTACAGGAACTTTGCTTGGCATTGCCCTGAAAGCTTCCTCTGTTTCTGAACTACCCAAAGCCCATGTGTCAATTTTTCTTGATATGGCGCTCAACTCATTGTTAGTTGTTTTCTCTTCTTTAATAAGCTCTTCATATCTAAAATTTCAAAAATAAAGTTGAGTAATAAGATACAAACCAATCCATATTAACCCTTTGTCTTTCCTCTTATTTAAATTATTGCTCTTTTTACATCATCTTCTCCACTTAACATTATTTACATTTAGAAATCTAAGTCTTGAGTTTCCTCAGAGAATAAAACAATCTTTCAAATTCATATCTGGGATTCACTTTAAACACAAAAAGCAATCTAAAACCTAAAACAAAAGAAGAATGGTATTACACTGTGTTTGCATAAAACTAATATTAAACATAACAATAAAATGATTTACATATAACAACCTAGTGGAGATTTATTGGGAATATATATAGGTCAGTAATTTTATATTAAAATGTGTTTAAAACATACATCAATCTCTGCTCTTCCTTAAAAGTGTTAATTGCATTTTCAATTTCTTCCATCATTTCTCTTAGCTTTTCAACAACTGTAAAAAAAAAATTAAATTATATCATTTCAGAATTACTAAGAATATTAGGAAAAAATGGAATGTTCCCCTAATTTAAAAACATTTCTTAGCGTAAAGAACAAGAAAAATGTGCTCTTAAAAAGCTAATTTTTATGACTCTAATTTTTATTACATATTTTTCCAATGTATACATATCATTAAATATCATTATTATTTACAAAAATGTTTATTTTATTTTTTAATTTAATCTTTATTGTATTTTTTCCACTATCATTTACTCCCATTATACCTGCCTCCCCCCAGCAATCACCCACTGGTGTCCATGTCCATGAGTCCTTTTCCCTTTTTGCTCAGTCCCTCCACCCCATAACCTCCCCTTCCCCAATAGCTGTCATCTGTTCTCCTTCTATGAGCCAGTCCCCATTTTCCTAGTTAGTTCTGCTTTTTCATTAGATTCTACATATGAATAAAATCATATGGTATTTGTCTTTCCCTGACTGGCTTATTTCACTCAGCATAATGTTATCCAGGTCCATCCATACTGTCACAAAGAGTAAAGTTTAATTCTTTTTTATGGCTGAGGAGTATTCCATTGTGTAAATGTCCCAGAGTTATTTTATTCACTCATCTATTGAGGGACACTAGGGCTGCTTTCATATCTTGGCGATTGTAAATAATGCTGCAATGAACATAGGGGTGCTTATATTCTTTTGAATTAATGTTTTCTGTTCCTTCAGATATATTCCCAGGAGTGGGGTCACTGGGTCAAAAGGCAGATACATTTTTAATTTTTTGAGGTACACTCTTCATACTGCTTTCCACAGGGGCTGCACCAATCCGCATTCTCACCAACAGAGCAAAAGTGTTCCCCTTTCTCCACATCCTCACCAGCACTTATTATTTCTTGATTTATTGATGATAGTCATTCTGAGAGATATGAGATGGTATCTCACTGTGGTTTTAATTCTCTCATGACTGAGAGAATCTTTATGTCTATTGGCCATCTGTATGACCTCTTTGAAGACATGTCTATTCAGTTCCTTTGCCTGTTTTGTAATTGGGTTTTTTGTTTTTGTGGTGTTGAGTTTTGTAATTACTTTGTAAATTTTGGATATTAACCCCTTATCAGGTTTATTGATGAATATGTGCTCCCAACCTGTGGCTTGTCCTTTTATTTTGCTGACAGGCTCCTTTGCTGTGCAAAAAATTCTTAGCCTGATGTAGTCCCATTTGTTCATTTTTTCTTTTGTTTCCCTTGCCTGGAGAGATATATCCAATAAAAAACTGCTATGAGCAGAGTCTGAGATGTTGCTGCCTATGTTTTCTCCCAGGATTTTTATGATTTTGATTCTAACATTTAAGTCTTTGATCCATTTTGAATTTATTCTTATGTATAAGAAGACGGTCTAGTTTCATTTTTCTGTTATACTTGTCCAACTTATCCAACAATGCTTATTGAATAAACTATCTTTAGCCCATTTGTATGTACATGATTCCTGTCGAATTTTAACTGACTATAAAGGTATGGGCTTACTTCTGACCTCTCTATTCTGTTCCATTGATCTGTATCTATTTTTATGCCAGTTCCATGCTGTTTTGATTACTCTGGCCTTATAGAAGGGGTCCCCGGTCCACAGCCTGTTAGAAATCTAACTGCAAGCGAAGCTTGCCTGAGCTCTGCCACCTGTCTCCTCCCCTAGCCTTCCACAGAGGGCAAGCGAGTGAAGCTCACCTGAGCTCTGCACCTGTTGTCCCCCCTCAGTCCACAGCGGGTGAGCAAGTAAAGCTCACCTGAGCTCCACCTCCTGTGCCCCCATCCCCAAACTGGTCCCTCACAAAAAGGTTGGGGACTGCTGCATTATAGTATTGTTTGATATTAGGTAGCGTGATTCTTCCAACTTTGTTCTTCTTTCTCAGAATCATTGTTGCTATGCGGGGCCTTTTGTGGTTCCATATAAATTTTTGAAATATTTGTTCTAGTTCTATGAAATATGACACTGGACTCTTGATAGAAATTGTGTGGAATCTATAGGTTGTTTTGGGTAGTATGGACTTTAAATGATGTTAATTCTTCCTATCATCCGTGAACATGGTATGTGCTTCTACTTACTTGTATCTTCCTCAATTTCTTTCATCAGTGCCTTATAATTTTCCATGTATAGGTCTTCTACATCCTTGGTTAGGTTCATTCCTAGGTATTTTATTCTTTTAGAAGCAATTTTGAATGGGATTGTTTTCTTAATTTCCCTTTCTGTTAGTTCATTATTGGCATATAAAAATGCAACTAATTTCCAGATATTAATTTTGTATCCTTCTACTTTGCTGAATTCATTTATCATTTCTAATAGTTTCTTGGTGGAGTCCTTGGGGTTCTCTATGTACATTATCACATCTGCAAATACAGACAGTTTTACTTCTTCCTTTCCAATTTGGATGTCTTTTATTTCTTTTCCTTGTCTGACTGCTGTAACTAGGACTTCCAGTACTATGTTGAATAAGAGAGGTGAAAGTGGGCATCCCTATCTTGTTCCCGATCTTAAGGGGAACACTTGTAGTTTCTGCCCATTGAGTCTAATGCTGGCAGTGAGTTTGTCATATATGGCCTTTACTATGTTTAGGTTTGTCTCCTCTATTTCCACTTTGCTGAGAGTTTTTTGTTTCATAAATGGGTGCTGGATTTTACCATATGCTTTTTCTGCATCTATTAATATGATCATGTGGTTTTTACTCTTCCTTTTGTTTATGTGGTGAATCACATTTATTGATTGTGAATGTTCCCAGAATAAATCCCACTTGATTATGGTGTATGGTCTTTTTGATGCATTGCTGTATTTGGTTTACTAGTATTTTGTTGAGGATTTTGGCATCTATATGCATAAGGGTTATTGGCCTATATTTTCTTTTTTTGTAGTGTCTTTATCTGGTTTTAGAACTATAATTCTGACCTCATAAAATGAGCTTGGAAGCCTTCCCTCTTCATGAATTTTATGAAATAGTTTGAGAAGGAGACATGTTAGTTCTTATCAGAATGTACTGTAAAATTCACCTGTGAAGCCCTCTGATCCAGTGCTTTTATTTTTGGGTGTTTTTTTAAATTACTGCTTCAATTTCACTAGGTATAATCTGTCTATTCAGATTCTCTGATTCTCCCTGTTTAGTTTGGGAAGATGGTATGTTTCTAGGAATTTATCCATTTTATCCAGGTTGCCCAGTTTGTTGGAATATAATTATTCATAATATTTTTTTTACAATCCTTTGTATTTCTTGGTGTCAGTTGTTATTTCTCCTCTTTCACATCTGATTTTATTTATTTGGGTCCTCTCTGGTTTTTTCTTGATGAGTCTGGTTAAAGGTTTGTCTATTATCTTTTCAAAGAACCAGCTCTTGGATTCACTGATCTTTTGTATTGTTTTTTTAGACTCTATTTCATTTATCTCTGCTCTGATCTTTACTATTTCCTTCCTTGTACTCACTTTGGGCTTTGTTTGTTATTCTTTTTCAAGTTCCTTTAAATGTGAAGTTAAGTTGTTTATTTGAGCTTTTTCTTGTTTTTTGAGATAGGTCTGTAATGCTATGAATTTCTCTCTTAGGATTGCTTTCCAGTGTTCCACAGATTTTGGATTGTTGTGTCCTCATTTTCATGTTTCAAGGTTATCTTTTGATTTCTTCCTTGATCTTGTTGTTGACCCATTCATTGTTTAATATTATTAATATTTAGTTGTCATATCTTGTGTGTGTTTTTCAGTGTTCTTGTAATTGATTTCTAGTTTCATAGTGTTGTAGTCAGAGAAAAATGCTTGACATGATTTCAATATTCTTAAATTTATTGAGACTTGTTTTGTGTCCTAATGTGTTCTATGCTAGAGAACATTCCATGTGCACTTGCAATATACTTGTATGTATATTCTGCTGCTTTGGGGTGAAATGCTCTGAAAATAGCAATTAAATATATTTGATCTAGTGCGTCATTTAAGACCGCTGTCTCCTTGTTGATTTTCTGCCTGGAAGGTCTATCCATTGAAGTCAATGGGTGTGTTAAAAACATTGACTATGATTGTATTTCTGTTGATTTCTCCCTTTATGTCCATCAAGAACTGATTTACATATATAGGTAAATATAGGTGCTCCTATGTTGGGTGCATAAATATTTACTAGGGTTATACCCTCTTGTTGGATTGTTCCCATTATCATTATGTAGTGTCCTTCTTTGTCTCTTACCATAGTCTTGGTTTTTAAAGTCTATTTTGTCAGATATAAGTACTGCTACCCTAGCTTTTTTTTCTTTTCCATTTGCATGAAACATCTTTTTCCATCCCTTTACCTTTAGTCTGTGTTATCTTTTTCATCTGTGATGGGTCTCTTAGAAGCAGCATATATATGGGTCTTGTTTTCTTATCCATTTGGCTACCCTATTTCTTTTAGTTGGGGCATTTAAGCCATTTACATTTAAGGTGATTATTGATAGATATATATGTAGTGCCACTTTAATGTTAGACTGTTTTCCTCTGTTTTTCTTTTTCTTTCTCTTTTTCTCCTTCTCCTTCAAGCAAGTACTTTACCATTTGTTGCAGTACTAATTTGGTGTTAACAAGCTCCTTTAGCTTTTTCTTGTCTGGGAAGCTCCGTATTTCTCCTTCGATTTTAAATGATAGCCTTGCTGAGTAAAGTGTCTTTGGTTGTACATGTCCTTGCTTTTCTTTTCTTTTACTTTAAAGATTTTACTTATTTATTTTTAGAGTGAGGGGAAGAGAGGGAGAAAGAGAAGGAGAAAAACATCAATATGTGGTTGCTTCTTGCACATTCTCTACTGGTGACCTGGCCTGCAACCCAGGCATGCGCCTTGACTGGGAATCGAACCAGTGACCCTTTGGTTCACAGGCTGGCACTCAATCCACTGAGCCACACCAGCCAGGGTTAGGTCCTCGCTTTTCATCACCTTGAATATTTCATGTCACTTCCTTCTGGCCTGAAATGCTTCTGTTGAGTAATCTGATGGCAGTCTAATTGTTGTTCCCTTGTAGGAAACTACCTGCTTTACTCTTGCAACTGTGCAGGCACTGGTCATGGCGCTCAGAGGTAGTCTGTAGCTGTCTAATGGGTTTGCAGGCTCTGGAGTGTCCCAGGAGGTGACAGCCAAGGTCAAGCCCCACCTGTGTTCTGTCCTGGGACCACCCAGCCTAAGCTATAAAGCAATCTAAGATGGCTGCTACTTGTGCTGGACTTGGAGATTCCCAGAAGTCTAGCTGTGAACCTCAGCTGGCTGCTGCTAGTGCTCTCACTGAGGCCAGCTGTTGCTTGTTTGAGAGGATTTAGGAAGTTGTGAAGCAGAAGCTAAGACCAGCCCTTCATATGGAAAAGCCACTGCTAACAGCTTGGGTGGGCCTGTAAGTTGGGTAGAGCAGAGCCTCAGGGGATCTCCAGGGTGGGAGAGTGCCATGGTTTCTGATCTTTGTTTTTCTTTATGGTTTCTGATCTTTGTCATTCTTATAAACTATAATACCACTATGAAAATGTATACCCATGTTCTCTTCTAGTATTTTTATGATTCCATGTATTAATTTAACAAAACAATAAAATATTCAAATTTGCTATTTTTTAGTGCTTATTACTATGTTACAAGCACTGTACCAAGTGCTTTTTGTGAATTGTCTCACTTCAACACCCCAACAACCCTATGAGTTAGGCCCTATGGTTATTTCCATTTCAGAGCTGAGGAGAAGCAAGCTCAGAAAAATCACATGACTTGCCCACAATCACATAACTGATAGATCAGAGATTCTACTCAACATCTGATTCTTAAGTCCATTCATTATGAGCACTTTACTGCTTCAATCACTCAGGAATGAATGTTGATATAAGTAGAGAAGCAAAGATATAATATTGTTTTTTACAAGTGACAAATATTTGCCCCAATACTGTTTAACCGTTTTTTTAGGTATTTGAAATGCCCCTAAAAGGCAATTATTTCAGAAAGCAAATGATGGGAAAACCCCTAGACTAAGAATCAGGATCCTAATCAGTCTTTTTTCCTTTTCATTAGCTGAATCTGAATTTTTACATAGCACAGATTCTCCATCCTATAAATGACCCTAATATCTATCTGTTCTGCCCACTTCATAATTTGTAAGGATTTATAGTATTTTAAAGATTAAAAAACCACATAAACATCAGATAGTACAGTTCTCCAACGTATCCTTATCAATCCCTAACCAATAAAGTAAGGTTTAGTTCCATTAATGTCAAATAGAAAAGGTTTTGTTAGAAAAGTATACATTTTTCTAGTGAACAACAGAAAACAGTAATATATAAGAAAGAATATAAAATCTAAATGTACTTACAATCAGGCGTAGGCTTCACATCTTTTAACTGATGCTGAAGCTGCTTCACATTGTTATGTATTTTGGCCAATTGTTGCTGGATTTTTGCTCCTATAAGGAGGAAGTATGTACTTTAAAATAATTCTATGACAAACATTGTTACAAATCAGAATTCTACACCTGAGACAAATCATCTTCACTTAGTAAAAGGTAGCCAAAAGCAATTAAATAATGAACAAAAGATGGTTACTACTAAGGTGTCAAAACAGCCTGAAGATTTTAATAAGTATCCTTGCTCTAAAAAAAGCATATCTCATTTTCTTCCAATATTTAAAAGCACAATGGGTTAAATCTACTATAACATGTGCCAAGAAGAAGTCTTTTTTTTAACCTCTGTGGAGACAGAGTTATTGGACACTGTTTTAAATACATGGATCAGAAGCTTAGTGCTTTGCCAGGTTTTGTTCTTCAATAGATTTTTCTTTTCTTTTTAACTTGTTATAATTTATGGAAAATAGATCTACACTCTATTTCTGGAAATATTAAAACTGTCTAAACAATATTAATTCTATGAATACTGACAAACTTCCTAATGAAAATTAACTTAATCTAATCACATCCTCTGAGCGGTGGGGGCTCATGATACTCAATAGCGTCACTGTTACAGTCTTGATGAAGTGTTCAGGTGCCAGTTAGTATATCTGCCCTACAGGAGGCCAAACTCATCCAAAGGACCAGCCTGAAAATGTTAGGCCCACAATATAAGCCTGAAAAACAGAGGAGGGTCTCAAATACATTTTCAGATGTTCAATATCAGCAACAGAAAGACTGGATTCCTCCTTCATATTTTCTCTATGAAATAATAATCTTACTTTAGTATTTTATTTAAACTATAGGCTAAAATCATATATTTACATTCACAAATCTATATGTGTATAATACATTTAATAGTAATGTCATTTTATCATCTTTGGGTACTTTATTTATGCCCTTCCATTTTTTTTCAACATTTTCACAATTGTACATGAAGCACCAAAACAGCTCTGTCTGAAAGTCCTTAAAAGCAATTTAAAAAATTTACCTATATGTAGGCCTGGAGCTGGTGCTAATATCCAAAACAAAAATATGACTTTGGCTTATTTTAATTAAAATTCAAGTGTTCCAGAAAAGCAGAAACTTTATCCAATGTATTTTTATAGGGTCCTATTCACTGCTGGAACTTCAGGTCAAGAAACTTCTCTAGTAAAGTTAAAGAATTAGGAAAGGGTTTTTGTTGTTTTGTTTTTGCCACAGTTTGATCAGCTGCAGTAACATCACTACATGGCAAGTGATTTTTTATTTATTCATTTGGCACTCTATAGGCAAACCATTTAAGTACAGTATTACTTAAGCACAGGCTAAATTTGTGGCATGATATTTGAGGTAAGGAAAAGGTATTTTCTACTTCTGGGCTGTAATATGGGGAAGGGGAAAACTCCTATATCCTTATACTAACTGCATTCCTTCCTCTCCTAAATAAGATAAACACCAAGTGTGAATAAAGAGAGGGAAAAATGTAGCAGAAAAAGAAATAAAAAGATAAAAATAAAGTTTTCTTAAAAAGAGAGAAAATGAAATGACTTAAAATGCAGAGAATAAAGACATTCTACTTGGCGGCATGACTGAGAGATCAGCCTCTAAGCTGTCTACAAAGAACTAAGGGAAATTAAGAAATATTAAACTAGGGATGTTTAGATTTCTCTATGAATTAAAGAGAACTGAAAATTTGGTCTTCATATTAGGTCCTGTTGTTATTCAAACAGAAGAGGGAGAATGATTCTTGCTGCTACCTGACAAAAGGTAACTTTTTAAAATAGTGCAATGCTACATTCTGAAATAAAAACTTATTAAGAATTTCTTTTAATTGGCTATAAGGGATTTCCATAAGCAGTATAATCTCTATATAAGTCAATATTTTATAAAGCTTAATTAGCTGATAACCATTATTTTTCCTTTAAGCAATGCTAAGCAGTATTTTTATTTTAATATATAAAATGTACTCTACAATGAAATAAGGTATACTTGTAGAATTCTTTTTTAAGGCTAACATTTAGTATACTACTAACAATGATTGATATCCACATCAAAGAATAAAACATTTTCTATGCAATCTATAAGGCACTTTCTCATATATTATCTCATGGGACGGACAGTACAGTTACCCTGAAGCAGAAGTGGTAGGTGTTATACCACAGACAGTAAACTCAAGTTTACGAGATCATGTGGCCTGATCACTTCATACTATCATTAGGTACACATTCTAACTCTGTTGCTGTTCTCTTAGTCCAGGTCTCAGTCAACAACAACATCAGGGTGATGAGCTTAGACCAGACAGCCTAGGAATAAATTTCTGTTTATTTTAAGAAATTTTAATAACATTAACCAATTTGTCAACAACAAAACCCTCTTTTTCCTATTAAATTAGAAGAAATTCACACAGAAAATAATCCAGCTAGAATCACTAAATAGTAACCTGAAAAAATAAATACATATCCTAAAAAGACAAACTCACTACTAAGTAGAAAGTATCTTGATAGAAAATATAACAGTCAATGTACAAATACAAAGCACAGGGAAAAACTGCAACTATATATCACTTAACAATTTTTGTTCATCATGAACTCAACTTACTTTCTGTTTTTCTGCTGTTAATCAACTTATTTTCCAATTCTTCCAGCATACTATGCTCAATTCTGAAGTCACTTTTTTGGTTGTAGAAATGACTGTGTTTATCTTTTTCTATGTTAATAACTCTTTAGGAAAAGAAACAAATGGTATAAATATGACTTAAATATATTTTTAATTATTTATAATATGAAGACACTCATAATAATCAGCACTTTATATTTGGATTGATTCATCTAAGGAGTCAAAATGTAATGATTTGGATGAGAAGGCTAAGGAGTCAAAATAGTTAGAAAAGAATTAAGTTCAACTAAAAATCACAAGTAATTTGAATTATTTAAATTATAAATGTTAATTTAAGAAAATGTGGTCATAGCATTGCTTTGAAAGTACATAGGCCTTTGACTATTGATTCCAACTCCGTCTCATTGTGGCCTGAAAAATCGCCACCACTGTTGATGGCTGCTTTCATCAGAAAATACTGCTGACTTTATAACCAAGACATTTACCCTTTCCTGATATGAATCTCCCGATCACTACAATGTGAATAATAACGGCTCTCCACTACCCAACAGAGCTGTGATTAACACTATGAGATAATATGCATGAGGGATATTTATACTGTAAAAATGCACTATGGAAATGCAAGTTATTAATATTATTAATAAAACTAACACTTCAAGAGACATCTATGAAGACAGAAATTTTAGTATATTTAAGAGATATTGTCTACATTTACTTCACAGTTTCTTTGATTTAGTCCCCCTAGCAGTAAGAAGGTCTAATGTTAGTTTGAATCCTGGAGTAAGACAAACAAGCGCTGTACTAATAAGAAAACTTTCTGGCTGGAAAAAGAAATTTATTTTCTTGACACCTGTTTTCTCTCTCCCAGAAGGTAGAAATTAATATGAATACTTCTCCACTAATCTTGGATTTAAGGAGTGCTGGAGCAGCTCTGGCTATTTACTTTCATACAACCTGAGAGACAATTATCTAAGGTAGAGTTCCCGATCTTTTTCATTTGGGCACAAAAAGAGAAAAACTTGATATTTATAAGGAATACTTGGGAAAACAGATGAGACTGCTCCCGGCCCTACATGGCTGCCCCAAAGACTGAGGGGATCATAACTTAGTACTTGTGTTTCACAGAGGAAGCCATGGCTAGAACAGAGACACCATATAGATTTCAGCCTGCAAGACAATTCTACTGGATTGAGGGTGGATCCCGGAGTCCTGTGCTGGGGCTGGGAAGCCCATCTATGCTCCAGTCTGGGGGTGGGGGAAATTACTGTGATCAAATAGAAATTTCTCGCATTGACATAGGTTATGCTCTTATAGTAAGTTAGTTAAGTCCAGCCATTCCTGGATTAGAAAATATTAACCTATATAGACAGTCAAAAGATAATAATGGAGACAAATTGCCAAACACATGCAAAAACACTCAACTTCACTCACAATAGGAGAAATTATAATTAAAAATATACACAATAACACTGTACACCTATCAGACTGGCAAAATAATTCACAAGTTTAAATAATATTTTCTAATGATAAAACTGTATAAAAATATCATAAATTGTCTATGGAAGACTATTTGGCAATACAACACATGCATATTGATATACCTTTGACCCAGCATTTCTATTTCTAGGAATATTTCCTAAAGACGTAGTCACACATATGCAGAATGATGTGGTTATGTGAATACTGCAATTAATTGCAGTATTGTTTGTTATAATAAAAGATAGAGCCCTAGCAGGTGTGGCTCAGTGGACTGAGTGCCAGCCTATGAACCAAAGGGTGGCAGGACTGATTCCTAATCAGGGCACATGCCTGGGTTGTGGGCTAGGTCCTCAGTTGGGGGCACTCAAGAGGCAACCACACACTGATGTTTCTCTCCCTCTCTTCCTCCCTTCCTCTCTCTCTAAAAATAGATAAATAAAATCTTAAAAGGAAAGACTGAATATATTCAATTAGGTTATACCTAAATGTCCATCACTAGGGGGCAGGTTAAACTATGTCATAGTCATACGTTGGGATACAATGCAGTAGACTTATCAGTCCATGTACTGATAAGAAAAGATTCCAAAGATCTCCACTCTTTTTATAACAAATAGTTTATATGAAAATGTTATTCATACCCCAAAATACAAAAATGCTATATTGACTCCCCTTGTGTATCACTCTGACTCCACAATTTTACCTCTTCTCTTGGTTCACCTTTCTTTTCCGTTTTTTTTTTGTTTGCTTAAATATTCTAAATTAAATCCACTCTATTATGTAATTTCACCCCAACCTACTTCAGTGTGCATCTCTAGAGATTATAGATATTTGACTTATATCACTATAATGCCATTATTATGCCTGACAAGATCAAATCCTTTGTATCTAAGATATACTCTTAAGTTAAAAAAAAAAAAGCAAGACCCAGAACATTGCTACCATTTATATAAAAAAAAACAAAATATAAGTACTTATTTTCTTATAAGCACAGATTACAAAATATCTATGGTATAACACACAAGAAACTAAAAATAGTGGTTGTCTGAAGGGAGGGGAAGTGGGTGGCTAGGGGTCACAGATCAAACAGAAACCTTTCACTGGGTACCCTTTGATATGTATTGATTTTTAATCCATGTGAACGTATTGAGTATTACCTACTCTGAAAGTAAAACAAAATTATACTACAAATTGTTTTCTTCTTGGTATGCAATGAGAAGTGCTGGATAGAAATATTCTTCCAACAGATTTTTCTAATACTTTTCCAATGAGTTTTTCCAAAACCTTGTCACAGATAGAGAAAGCCTAATGAGAAGTGTAAAACCAACATACAAGGTATCAATACTGGCATAATCTACTGGTTTACTATATATATGGATGTTAACCACTTTGTAGATTACCTATCTAGAGAGAAACGTAAACCAAAATCCATAATGTAGACTCCAGTTCTATCTAAAGTAGTACATTTTAGAAATCAAAGAAAAAACCTGTACATTCTCAAATTCTGAATATTAAAAGTACTATGTAAGTACTATACAAATGTAATTGAGAATTCAATCTCCCAAAGCTATAGTATAACTTTTCAAATGTCAAACAGTATACTTTTTTATTGGTAGAATTTCCAAACAGACAACTGCCACTACTTCTGGTCTGGAGATCCTTTTTCAAAAGTGTCCTTTTCTCTGAGTTCTTTAGTAAACTGATACTGTGTGACTTCAAAGCAGTCTTTTCATGAAGTTTCAACTATAGGGTAGGTTTGAGTGCTTTGAGTTCTAATTCTTTTGTCATTCCTCATGATATATGTCATATCATGGAGCTGCTGTCAACACTGAACATTCAATACGTATCCCTGGATTTTAAAAAATATATATACACTACAAATTAAAAGTTTCTCAGTTAGTCAAGTCATAATGTTCAGGATGGATCTGAAAGGGACAGAGACCAAGGGAGGGAGGCCAAATAAAAGGATATTTCAAAAATATAACTCGAGGGTACAGATTTTTCATTAAAATTATTCACTCACTCAAAAATACTTACCAAGTGCTTATCTTGCTAAATGAAAATGTATTCAATCTGTTATCTGAAACATGCAGTCTAAAGAAATAACAGCTTTTTTTCTCTTGAAATACACTGGTTCAAAATGGTAAAAATAAATGCAATTTAAATAACTGTTCTTAAAATTAACTTTGTGTTAAATAGCTTATTATCATTTGTCTATTTCACACTTCTCACCTTTCTCTTGTTTTATATTTGAAAGGCTAGTGACCAAAATTTTGTAACTTAATGTGGGATAGGATAGGGTAGAGTAGAATTAACTTTATGGGTTGTTCATAATAAAATGGCTAGTAATGTCATTTGAAGATAATGTTTTTATACTTACTGATTTTTAAATTTTTCTGCTGTGCGTAAAAATTCTGCTTTCTTAGTCCGACTAACTTTCTGTTTCCAGTTTTGAAGCTGAAAAGGACGAATTCCACCTGAAGTACCAAAACAGCCATCATTCTGCATGAGAAATAAAAATAAGTTTACCCACAATAATAAAAAAAGGTAAAAGCTGAAGGTGGAATTTTTTTCAAAGATGAAATGTCAATAATATAGTTTCTCACAGGATAATTTTATCCATTCATCCATTGATGCCTATTGTTCATAACGTTGCAATGAACATTAGGTGAATATATTTTTTCAAGTTAATGTTTTCATTTCCTTCATTTAAATACCCAGAAGGGGAATCACTAGATCATACAGTAGTTCTATTTTTAATTTTTTGAGGAACGTCTGCTATTTTCCACAGTGGCCATACCAATTTACATTCCCACCAAAAGTGCACAGGATTTTTTTTCTCCACATCCTTGTCAACAGTTGTTAATTCTCATCTCTTTGATAATATCCATTCTAACAAGGGTGAGGTAATGTCTCATTGTGGTTTTGATTTGCAGTTCCCTGATGATTAGTGATGTTGCGTAACCTTTCATGTACCTGTGAGCCATCTGTATATCTGGAAAAATGTCAGTTTGGTTCCTCTGCCCATTTTTTAATTGTATTGTTTTTCTGCTATTGAATTGAATGAGTCCTTGATATACAGGGTCCAGCAGAACGCAGGTCTGTCTGAGTGTGGGTGGTGCGGTAATAATATGGCTATAATAATTTATAGTTTTAGTTTAAACATTTCACCTAAAATGTCATTATGGTATGCTTGAGTGTGATATTGTTATGTTACAGAATTATTACATGCCTATGGTTTTGTAAAAAAAGATTTTGTAATAAAAAAGGGTGTTATTTGTGTCAGATCCTGTATTTTGGATATTAACCCCTTATGAAATATGTGATTTGCAAATATTTTCTCCTATTCAGTAGGTTGCCTTTTCATTTTGGTGGTGGTTTCCTTTTCTACATAGAAGCTTTTTAGTTTGATATAGTGTTCCTTATTTTCAGAGAATAATTTTGCTGGACATAATTCTTGGTTGACAGTTCTTTTCTTTCGGCATTTTGACGGTCATCCTGCCGCATTCTGGAGGTCAAGGTGTCTGATAAGGAATCAGCCATGAATCTTGTTGTGGACTCCTCGTATGTGTTGAGTTGCTTTCAAGATTTTCTTTTTGTTTTTCTACAGGTTGATTATGTGTCCAGATATGGAGCTCTTTGAGTTTATTCTGTTTGGATTATATTTAGGTTAATATTTTCATCAAATTTGAGAAGTTTTCATCCATTATTTCTTGATATATTCTTCCCATTCCCCCTTTTCCTTTTTTCTCCTTCTGGGACTCTCATTATACATGATGCTTGATGGTGTCTCACAGGTCTCGGAGGCTCTGTTAATTTTTCTTCATTCTTTTTTTCTTTCTGTTCCTCAGTCCTCAGTCTGGATAATCTAAATTGACCTATCTTCAAGTTTACTGATTCTCCTGCCAGCTTAAATCTAGGGTTAAGTCCCTCCAATGAATTTTTCATTTAAGCCATTGTATTTTTAACTCCAGAATTTCTATTTAATTCCTTTGTTATAATTTTATCATTTTATAGATATTTTATATTTGGTAAGACATCATTCTCACACTTTCAGTTCTTTGAGAAAGGTTTCCTTTAGTTTTCAAACATTTAAAACAGCTGATTTACTTCTGGTCAGATGGAGGTATAGGTACACACACTTCACCTCCTCGCACAACCATAGAAAGAATTAACACTAGATCTCAAAACTAATAACACCCAGAAGTATCAGAAAATCAGGCTGTATAGAAGTCCAACCACCAAGGATTTAAAGAAGCCACATTCATCCAGAAGGGTAGGAGGGGCGGAGTCGAGGAGATGGGCAGAGAGGCGGTGTGGCATGGAAAGGCAGCAGCACAGACGGAAGGGATACCTTGGGAGTGAGTGATACCAGTCCCAGGCCAGATGGCACAACCCAGGATTCCAGCACTGGGAACATAAATTCCCCCTTACCCCTGGCTGTAAAAACCAGCAGAGCATTGGGGCAGCAAATGGAATTGCCTTTTCTTTTTTTTTGCCATTTAAAGGGCCAGCATGGTCTTGAATGTATGCAAACCCAACCAGGATTCACCACCAGGGCAGCAGCTGGAAGGGCACCAGTTGCACACAGGAAGGGCTGAAGTGACGATATGAGGCGAGCACCAGGCAAACCACCAGAAGCCAACAGGTGGCATTGTCCCCTCTTGGAGTCCTAGCCATAAAGCAGTGAAGCACGTTGCCCTGCCCTGGCAATCACCTAAGGCTCTGCCCCACACAATTTACAGGTGCCTTTTCTACATAGGGCACTTTACTAAGACATGGTGTAAAAGCAGCTCTATCTAACACACAGAAACAAACACAGGGAGGCTGCTAAATTGAGGAGACAAAGAAAAATGGCCCAAATGAATGAACAGGGTAAAACTCCAGAAGAAGAACTAAGCAATATGGAGATGGCCAACCTCTCAGATGCAGAGTGCAAAACACTGGTAATCAGGATGCTCAGAGAACTCCTTGAGTATGGGGGAAAAAAAAACGAGGAAGAAATGAAGGCCACACTAAATGAAATAAAAGAAGAATCCACAGGAAACCAACAGAGAAGGAAAGGAAGCTGGGGTTCAAACCAATGATTTGAAACATAAGAAAGAAATAAACATTGAACAAGAACAAAAAGGAAAAACAAGAATTAAAAAAAAACAAGGACAGACTGAGGAACCTCTGGGACACCTCCAAACATGCCAATATCCGGATCGTAGGGATGCCAGAAGGAGAAGAGGAAGAGCAAGAAATTGAAAACTTATTTGATAAAATAATGAAGGACAACGTCCCTAATTTGGGGAAGGAAATAGATATACAAGTCCATGAGGCACAGTGAATCCCAAACAAGATGGATACAAAGAGGCTCACACCAAGACACATCATAATTAAAATGCCAAGGGTTAAAGATAAAGAGAGAATCTTAAAAGCAGCAAGAGAAAAGCAGAAAGTTACCTACAGAAAAAGTTCCCATAAGACTATCAGTGGATTTCTCAAAAGAAACTTTGCAAGCAAGAAGGGACTGGCAAGAAGTATTCAAAGTGATGAAGAGCAAGGACCTACAACCTAGATTACTCTATCCAGCAAAGCTATAATTTAGAATGAAAGGGCAGATAAAGTGCTTCCCAGACAAGGTGAAGCTAATAAAGGAGTTCCTCACTACCAAGCCATTATTACAGAAAATGTTAAAGGGATTTTAAGAAAAAGAGGATCAAAACAATGAATATTAAAAAAGCAACAAATTTACAACTATCAACAACTGAATCTAAAAAAAACCAAAAGAACAGAAAACTAAGCAAACAAGCATAACAGGAACAGAATCATAGATATGGAGATAATTTGGAGGGTTACCAGGTGGGAGGGAGAAAGGGGAGAATGGGGAAATAGTGCAGGGATTAAGAAGCATGGTTGGTAGGAACAAAATAGGGAAATGAAGGAATCATAGGAAATGGAGAAGCCAAAGAGCTTACACGAATGACCCATGGACATGAACTAAGCGGGGGATTGCTGGAGAGAAGGGAGGTACTAGGCGGAGGGGGGCAAAGGGGACAAATTGGGACAACTGTAATAGCATAATTAATAAAATATACTTTAAAAATAGCTGATTTTAAGTCTATCTGTTATGTGCAACATGTGGTCTTCCTTAGGGAAGTGCACCTTTACTGCCTTAAAAAAATGCTCTTGTGAGTGGATCATACTTCCTTGTTTCTTTGCATATATTATTCTTTTTGTTGTTGTCAAAAACTGGACATGTTAAATAACAATGTGGCAATGGATTCTTTCCCCTAAAGGTTTGTTATTGCTGATGTTTGCTTAGCCAATTTCCTGAACTAATTCAATAAAGTCTGGTTTGTCTGTGTAGCACTGAAATCTCTGCTGGGTTAGCTTAGTTGTTAGCTAATGATTGCCTGGTCAGAGGTTTTCTACAAGTAAGTCTTCCAGACTTTGCTGAGGGGATCTATGTGTATGCTGGTGCATGACTTAAACACCTGGGCAAGCAGCGTACACCTCTACCTTAGCCTTCACTTCCTTTTTTTGCAAAGAGTTGCAAGGCCAGCCAAAGGTAAAACCTCAGGCCTTCTCTGGTGTATCAGTTTCCTGTTGTACTATAATAAACTCACCACAAATTCGGTGGCTTAAACAACATAAATTTATTTTTTTACAGTTCTGGAGGTCAAGAGTAAAATTGAGATGTTCAAAGGACTGTATTCCTTTTGGAGGCTTCAGACGAGAACCCACTCTTACTTTTTTTTCATCTTTTAGAGGCCACCTTCATTCATCCATTGGCTCCTGGTCCCTTCCTCAGATCACTTCATCCTCTTGCTTCCTTCATCACATCTCCTACCACTGGTCTGATCTTCCTGCCTTCCTCTCATAAGGACCTTTGCGAATACACTGGCCCACCCAGATAATCCAGGATAATCTCCCCATCTCAAAACCCTTAATTTAATCACATCTGCAGCAAAGTCCCTTTCATCATGTAAGGTTGAATATTCACAGATGCTAGGGATTAGGATGTGATGGTCTTTGGCAGAAAGTAGTGTGTATTCTTCAGTCTACCACACCAGGACATGGTTGTGTGTGATCTTCGAGGAAATCCATTTTGAATAATCATTTAAAGTCAGAGAAGGAATATACTTATTACTGAAGAACTGCCCAGGCAGCTGAGTGCCATAAAATACAGGCCATCACAGGGAGGTCACGAGAAACACACAAAGAAATAAACAAACAAAAAACCCCAAGAAGTCACAGCCCTATCCTGGTACAAAACTAGGACATACACTAGTGTGATACCATTGTATTAGAGATATTTCAGAAAAGTCACAATTGAACAGTTAAAATGACCAAGTGGGAAATGGCATTTGAGAAGAGGATAAAGAGATTGGTAGTCTCCAGTCTTGGAAGGCAATGGCTGAGGAGATTTACAAATAAATAGTACACAAATATTAAAACACATAGAGTACATTATTATTTTTCATAACGGGTGAGAATTCTATGGGATTTCACAA